AGAAGCCCGCGGCTGGGGGGGCGTCCAAGACACCACGGCTTCACCCTTAAGCGCTCCCCAGGCACCCCCCCTTGACCGCGTCCCGCAGCTGGGGGGGGCGTACAGGACACCACGCCTTCAACCTTGAGCGCCCCCCTAGCACCTCACCTTGACCGCGTCTCGCGGCCGCGGGGGCGCTTCGAGACACCACGGCTTCAAACTTGAGCGCCCCCCCCCGGCACCCCCCTTGACCGCGTCTCGCGGCTGGGCGGGCGCCTCGGGATACCACGGCTTCAATATTGAGCACCTCCCGGGCACCCCGAACTAACAACGTCTCGCGGCCGAGGGGGCGCCTCGAGACACCACGATTACAACTTTGAGCGCCTCCCGGACACCCCCGCTTGACCGCGTCTCGCGGCTCGGGGAACGCCTCGGGACCCCACGGCTACAACCTTAGATGCCCCCAGGCCCGCCCGCTACCACTTTCTCTCTCCTCCCTCCCTCTCTTGTTCCTCCTCCTCCTCCTCCTCCTCCTCGCCCGGTCCTTCGTCCTTTGCGTCCTTCCCGCCCCTCCCCTCTTTCGCATAATGCTCGGCATCCCCGTCCCCTTACGGATGCCTCTTCCCCTTCCTAATGCGAATCGTCCTCCTCATCCCTCTCCTCCTACTCCTTCTCGTCCTCGCCCTCCGCGCCTCGAATTTCTTTCGCCATCCCCCTTCAGAGGGCACTAACCTGAGGGCGCCGACCGCCAGCGACGGCGAATCGCAGCAGGCAAAGCACGCGGGACTTGGAAATGTCGAGGGCGAATCGGGTGTCCGACGCCCAGTGTCGCAACCCAGGAAGAATTATGACAGGCCCGAGTCCGAATCCGAATCGATATTACCAGGAGCCTCTCCAGGAATATCGTGCAAGACGTACGCCCTTCGGAAGCGGTACCCCCGGAGACCGCTCTGGGAATGTCGTTTGGGGTGTGGACGCGTGGCCTCTGAGAGACTTCTGGGGGCCTCTTGGGAAGTCTCGGGTGCCTATTGGTAGTCTTTTGGGGACCTCTGTGTCTCCAGCGCGGCCTCGAGGTTCGATTAAATATAGCTGGAAAACTCTCTGGGAACACTGTGTAGGATGTGGACGCGTGGCATCTTAGAGGCGTGTTGGGGTCTGTTGGGAGACCTCTCGGCAGCGTTTTTGAAGCATGTCGGCGCCGCCTGGAGGCCTGCTGAAGGCCTCTTTTTGGCTTCTTGGGGGCCTCAGGGGGCCTCTGGAAGGCTTCTGAGGGGCCTGCTGGCGGTCTCGGGGGTCCTCTTGGGGCGAGAGCAAAATTTGAGTTCAAGCTCCATCTCAAGGGTCTCACTTGGGGCTCTCTCGGGGCCTCGTTGGCCATCTGGGGCATTGATTGGGCCGTCTTGGGTCTCTCTAGGGCCGTCTTGGGGCCTCTTTGTGGGCCTTGTGGGCCGTCTTGGGGTGATATTGGGGCCACCCTAGGCCGTACTGGATGCTGCCAAGACGAAAAAACGAATGTGCTACAAAGGTATGCTTTCCCTAAGCGATCGGACGGTGTTGGCCTCTCGCGGCCCTCTTGAGGATCCTCTTAGGGCACTCTACGACCTTCTGGGGGGCCTCGGGCCCGTCTTTTTTAGCCATCCTGAGCGGCCTTAGGGCGCTCTTGGGTCGTATTTGTTTCTACTTGGACCTGGCCTGATGGAGATCCCGTTTGCAAGAGGTAGATGCTAGACTCCATTGCTGCATTCCGAGACAGCGTGGGCCACGGCGGCCGGGCGGGAAGGGTCACCTCAGGATGGCCTGCGAAAGGCAACGTTGGCGAGAGGAGTCCTCTCTGGGGAGCCCTGCGCGCTGAGGGGTCTTGCCACACTGAACAACACGCCGCGGCATCAGTGGTTCTCCTTGAACTTGTGGATCACGGTCTTCTCCTGGACAGCCTTGTTCATGTCGCTCTTGAGCTGGTACAAGCCAGAACCCTGAGGGTGCTCCATCAGATGGTAGGTCGTGACCTCGAACTCCTTGAAGGGCACAGGCACCTCGTGGTTCTCGGGCTTCTCGCAGGGCATGTCTTTGGCACAGCCTGTACCTGTCGAGCCTGCAAACAGGAGCGAGGGCGGTGGTTCCACGCCCGTCCCCAGGAGCGTGAAGTTCGACTTCGAATGTCTCGTTGCCCACTGGCCCATCTCGATGCGGGCCTCAGGGTGTCCTGGAACCTCCTCGCTGTAGGCGAGGTAGAAGCGTGTGACACCCACGTTGAGTTCCGTCTCACGAAGCGGCTCATACTCAGGCCAGGGGATGTAGCACTCGTCCTTCGGGTCGTCGCAACCGAAAGACTGCAAGAAATAGCGGGTGACGAGCGGCTTGCCCGGCTCCTCGACAGGCGTGAGGTCCTTGCTGATCTTGAAGGTCATGAAGGTGCCAATCTTCTCGGCCAGGGAGTCCAAGATGGGCCAACCCGTGCGAGGCGCCAAGAGGTTGGAGAGCGAGCCGAGGCCCAACGTATCCTGGTGCCAACCGATCGTTAGCTCTTCCACGCGCGGATCGCCGTCACACTTGAAATCTAATTTCTGGCACGTGGGGCTGAACATGCCACACGGGTTCTCGATCCACTTCCTCATACCAAGGCGGGTACCACACAAGAGCTCATAGGCTGTCTTGCCCTCTTTCGACTCTGACGCTGCCGTCACATTAGAGGCGGTCTTGCCCTCCCTCGCCTCTGACTCATAGGCTGCCTTGACCCGAGCCGCATCAATGCCAGGGACGGCGACTGGGCCCAAGAACAAGGACGCCGCCAAGAAAGAGAACCGCGAGGCAACCATGCCGGGCGTGTCCGCGCTGCTTGTTTGAGGCCTGGGGCCAGGCAGAAGATGCTGATGCAAAAGAGTTGACAACACACGCTGGTTTAAGCTTGAGTTCCTTGAGCCAAGGTGGCTGTGGGAGCGTTCGTGGGTCGTCTTGGAGGCCTCTTGGGCTGCATCGCGGGTGCTCCTGGAGCGCTCTCGGGGGTGAGAGAGCCCCCCAAAGGGCCGAAAACGAGTTTGGGGCCCCTGGGGCCACATTCGGTACCCCAGGGGTGGGGGCCCATTTGCAATTGTGTGCCGCGCGGCAAACGGGGGCACAACACTCCTTCATTAGAATTGCCATGCTGATCGCCAGGCATGACGTGTCGGGGCGAAAATCCACAAGAGCTCGCAACGCTCCCACGTTCATCCCGCCCTGACTCTGGAGCCCCGCCTCCGGGCAACATCCTCGCCGACAACTTCTCACCCACCCCACTATCCATGATCCCCATCCTCTCTTCTGCTCCCCCCCGCTTCCCCCTCCTCCTTCTCTCACCCCATGATATTCAGTTTTCTTGTCCGCAAACGCTGCGATCTTGACCGCGCCAGCGAAGACCTTCTTAGTGCCCGTGATCCGCCGCCGCGCCTGCGCGACAGGAGCGAGCGCGAATGCCTCTGAGCTGCCTAGTTCGCCGATCAGACACCCACGCTTCTGGGCGTGACCGTGTCTCTCTAGATTTCCTGGGATACCCTCGTAGCCACAGCTGGATCCACTTCGAACGTATCATCAAAACACGCCCCAGGACAGATCCGGGGGGGCGATTTTAGAACCGAGGACTCGGACATCCCTGAGCGCGCTTCTGAGGCTGCAGTTCTTCGCAACAACAAGATCAGCGTGACGTTGGAATTGCCGGAATCATGTGGATACCAAGACTTCCTGTTGCTGCACCTGTGCAGCTCCGTCCATTACGTGACAAACCAGGAGGGCGAATCAAATCACTCTGCTCGACTCAATACGCGGCAACGCTGGGCGCGGTACCAAAATACTCAACTCTTACGCCCAAAGCGGCGACGCAAGGAGACAACGACGACAAACACATTTCGACTACGAACACTTGGAAACCCGACGCGCTGAAAGTTTTCCGCGGTGGCGCAGTTTCTGGAACTCCCCCACATCCTCCATGCTCTGATTCTTCCTCCAGCTCCTGCTTCCCCTCCTGCTACATCCTCCCCGTACTCAGCCCCTCCCAGTCCCCCACACGCCTGCCGTGTTTCCTTGTTTGCGCGGCAACGCATAGTCTGGAACCTCCAACCCCTCCGCCCCCTCCTCTATCTCCCTTCACCTCCTCCCCCTTCCGTCACCAACCAGACCGGAATTTCTTGATTGGCCGACTCAATAATTCCGATTCAACGGAATTTGCGATGTCATGCAAATTCCAAGATTCACACCCACTTGCCGGTTTCGCGAAGCGGCCCCCCCTTCCGGTTTCGCCAAAATCGGTTTCCGGTTTGACGGCGATTCCCCGGTTGAGCTCGCCACCTCCCGAGGAGGCCCCATGACGCTCCAAGATGCGCTCAAGAGGCCCACAGGAGGCCTCCTAATAGACCCTTACGGTCGTAACACGATTCAGGCGCGATGGCAGGATGGATCGAAGGCCATCATCTATACCCGCATGATCGACATGGTTGATTACGACTGCGGTGAGGCATGCCCTGGTATGTGATGGCTCGCGTTGGCACTGCCATCGTACTGTAGTGTATCACGGATGTCTGGCTACTGCAATGCTCCATGAAGAGAAGGAAGAAGGATGCAGGAGGAGCAAGAGGGAGAGATGAAGAGAAAGAGGATGAGGTTACGGGATGCCGGTGAAGAAAGAAAGATAATGTGGTCACAGGGAGCAAGGAGGAGGATGAGAAGGAGAAGTGAGGCAGGGACAGGGTAGGAATACTTAGGAAGGAGGAACAGGAGGAGGAGGAGGAGTAGCAGTAGTAGGTGCCGACTGCTCGCGGTCCAGGTGCCAGACGCTGCGGTCTGGGTCCGGGAGGAAAAGAGTAAGGGCAACGACGCCGACGACTTCGACGACTGAAGGTCGACGACGGACGACGGCGACGGACGACAACGAAGAAACGACGGACGATGACAACGACACGGACGACGTCCACAACACCGACGACGACGACACGGACAGACAACGTCCGCCACGGCGACTCGCCCCGCAGCCAGCCGACGGCTGGGCGCCCCACCTGTGCCATCCTCTTCTGCGCCTCCCTCTGCAGCCTCAACTTCTCCTGGCGGGGGGGGGGGGGGCGGCCTTCCGCCGCCGCAGCAGCCGCGGCGACGGACGACAGACGACGGCGACGGCGGCGGCGGACCACCGACCGACCGACCGACGACGTCGTCGTCGCCGGCGCCTCGGCCGCCGTCGTGGTCGCTGGCCTTGCGTCCGTCGTCGTCGTCGTCGTCGTCGTCGTCGTCGTCGAGTTTCGTCGTCGTCATCGGATTTCGTCTTCGTCGTCGTCGTCAGTCGTCAAGCGTCAGCGTCCATCGTCGCCATCGTCGTCGCCGTCGTCGGCGTCGTCATAGTATCCCGTCGCCCTCGTCGACGTCGTCGTCGTAGTCGTCGTTGTCGTCGTCCTGTCGGAGGTATCCACAAATTCTCGTCGCTTCTATGGTGCCCCTGGCCCTTCTCGCCTTCTCCTCGTGGGGCGGAGCGTCCGCTGGTGTTCGGCGCACTGATCCCTCCTGCCACCCAGGGAGGAGAGGCAGGAGCTGCATCAGATAGCACACTTGCGGCAGAGGACCTTGAACAACTTTACAATTACGATGGGGGCCACGATGGGGGGCCACGATGCGGGGTCACGATGGGGGGCCACGATGTGGAGCCAAGACGGGTCGGAATAGGGATAGACAATGGGAGACAACGGGCGACACTGGGAGAAAATGTGAGACAACGGAGGCCAATGGGGGCCAACAGGCCTCCGAATCGCTTCTCAAAAAGTTAGACCAACCCTTACAGGCACTTGACAGCTGGCACGCCACTCAACGCAGAAGGTTAAGCTATAACACCCCAGCAACAGGGAAAGTGCTCTCAAACTTGGCGGAAGACTAGTCGGCCGAATGGCCCCGTTGTGTGGAAGCCGTGAACACTTTCGTCCATCGACGCGTGGAACCCAGCGCAGGGGGGGAGGGGGGATAGAGGGATAGAAGTCAATCCAAGGTTTCAAACTAATGTGTATGTGCTGATGCTTGGGGGTCGTCTCATCGATGTGCCTGCAATCGCATTGTGTTGTACGTTCTGTCTTCTGCGCTCATCGCTTTTTCGGTTCGAGAGGCGCGGGTTCCAGCTAGCCCGTTGGCCACCAACCCGAAGCATCAGCGTGCTTCCTGGCAGGGCGCGCGCCGCGCGCTGGTCGGGACCACGACGCGCGGGTGGCTGGCCGCGCTGGCCACAATCTGCGCGCAAGAGCTGCACTACTGGCTCCCCGAGGGCGGGATCAAGGCGGTGTGTGGCAGCAGGAGAGGGGACATAATGTTTCGCCTTGAGCCACATGTGGCACGGACGCACACAATATGGATCTCTATCCATCAGCCCCCAGGGTGAAACACCAAAAACTAAACCTATACGTGAGATTATGGACCCCTGGAACATGGGTCCAACTTTCTCTAGGTTTAGCTGTCCCGAAACTCAATTCACAAGTCCGTGTCCACTGCCTGGCAGTGTCAAAAGCGACCTGCAAATGCTAAACATACGCAGCAGCAGAGAGATAGAGAGGCAGAACTAGAGAGCAGATTATTGGAAAGCGGATTCGGAGGATAATGAAGGCGGAGGGAGAAAGGAGGAGGACGGGAGGACACTACCACCACCAACCAGGCCAGGAGGAGCCCTCTGGTCCAGGTAGTCGAGCCATGCGATCCAGGCAGGCTCCGACAGCATTCTTCGGGAAGCTGACTGAGAGCGATCCTTGAGCTCGGGCATGTCCTTCCGGCGGCCGACCTCTTGAGCTTCGTCCACCAGACTGAGCTTGCCATTGGTCATCAGATCAAACAGCGCGGCGTTGCACTTAGTCACGTCGTCCTTGGTCAGGGCATCCACGGGCATACGGCCATGGGGTATCCACCGTATTCTGCCCCTGGCTCGCTCCAAGGACTCACAGATGATGGCGAGGTCTAGAACAGTACGCCCATCGCGGGCCGACGCATTTCCTTCCTTTTGGAAGGTATCATATATTGACTTGGCGTCCACCACGTGGACCTGTTGCTCCCTGGAACCCAGACTACACTCGCGTCTTAAGACCGCAGTGAAGGGCCCTGAGGCCCGCACGCAATCAGGCAGATCAACATCCCTGAACACGACATCTCGATACAACACTTGAAGATACTCGACTTCCGCCACCGCAGCCGAGAGAGCTTGAGTCTCCCCGGCTAACGTCGAGGGCACCGTACGCCGTAGCTTACTGCTGCGCCAACCGAGCACGGACGCTCTCACCACCTGGTTATCGAGAACAGACTTGTCTGCGGCCAACACCATCCAGGCTCCCTGGGTGGGGTCGGCCGGAAGGCCGTTGTCGTCCTGGAGCGACTCTACCGATCCGCCACCATCCGCATCGGAAAAAGAGATGAAAGACATGCGCTCGGGGTCTAGTTGCCAGACCGCCAATCCTCGAGAGGCTGTTGCCCTCAAGTGCTTCACCTACTTGTTGGCACACGACACGTCCGACACTGTCGGAGCTCTTAAACGACTGGCCAGAATGCTCGCCACTCCGGCCGCTTCTGGCCGCGACTCTCGGCCGACCCAATTGAACTTATAGACCAGGGAACGCAAAGCTTTGAACTCGGACGGCTCGAGAGGAGAATTCTTGACAGACAAACGGCCCCGGGCCAGAGTCAAGGGGCGGATTTCTTCCAGGATATATTTTTCTTGATCAATAACGGCCTTGCCGGGTAAGAAGGAAACGCGCCTACCTGCAAAATCTACTGAGCCGGCATGACAATCTCGATACTCCCCGAAACGGAAGCGGTCCTCTAAGATACTGCGAATCCACGCTCGGGCATCCGCATCCGCACTGCCGATAAAGAAATCGTCGACTTCCAGCAACATCACGTTCTGGATGGCCCCGTCTGCTCGATGCTTCAACCGCCAGCAGGGCTCCAGCAAACCCCTTTCGAACCCATGCGCTTTTCCAGATGGCCAACCACAGTCCGACGCCAGGCTACTGGAGCATCGTCCAGCCCGTAAACGTTCACCAGCAAAAGGGTAAGGGATCCAGGCTCGACGTCGATACCCTCGCAGGGTTCAACATAGATCTGGCCCTGGGACCTCGTCATTGGATCTGACTGGGCGAAAGCGTTCTTAACGTCCGCAATGTCACCGAGCATCCGGAAATTGACCAGTACCTGAATGAACATCATAATGGATGAGGTCTGGGGAGTGGGCGCGTATACTGCGAGGGAGCCAGAGTCGGGGTCCTCATGGCCATGCGCACACCACCTGGACTTCGCCTCAGGTTCTACAAAAGTCCCTTCAACTGGCTTCCATCGGCGCACCATTCGGCTGGATATGATCCTGTCCGGACAACGTTGCCGGATCTTCGCCGCCTGGCTCGGAGGGATGACTCGGACCCCCCCCGGATTGCAGCGTGGCCTTCCATTCTTTGCTATCTGAAGCCTGGAACTTCTGACGCTCCTGAGGGGTGAGCTTCTTGAGGGTCACTTCTCCCCCGCGGCTAGCCGCAAAGGCGCCCCCGCCCTGGGTGCTTTCGCACGCGACCCCAACAAACCCCTCGACATCCCCGGGAACAACGGAAAGCCCGTCAATCGGTCCCGGGACCACGAAGAACTCGCTGGTGGCTTCTGCCTCGATCATTCCCTCTGCCCCCCTGTTGCGATTGGGCGACCGAGACCTGACTCGTGCCTCGATGGCCTGAACACGCCCCTGAACGGACTGCCTCGGCCCATCGCCGGCCCTGACAGGCCCCCGGGTCTCCAGGCCAGGCCCAGGGCCCCCAACACCGGAGGAGGAGGGGGCAGCCCCACCGACTGGGTAAGGAGGGGAGGAGCCCGAGGAAGGGTCGATCCTGGCCCTCTATCTCGGGAGGCGCGCTCCCGGCCCTCGCAGCTCGTATGCAGGCTGGGACATCCTCCGGCTGTGTGAGGCGCCCTCTTGTCTTAGGCCTCGCCCCGTCTGGTGGAGACGGAATGACAGGGGAAAGAGAACTAGGAGTCGCAGGCAAGGGGGGAGGAACAGGAGCGGGCAAGGAAGCAGAAAGAGGAGGAGACGGAGGAGGGAGGAGTCCCGGATTCTCCCGATCCCCTGGCTCGACTTCTGCGGATCCTGAGCTGACTCCTCGAGACAACTGCTGACTGGGGGACGGCGTTGCCGACTCCCCTCTGTCTGAGGGAGCCGGCTCAGATGTCCGAGACTGGCTGGGCCACAACCGATCCGGCACGAGAGAGAGACCCCCTGGATGGCCTCCGAGGAAGCCCGAGAGTCCCACCCACTGACGGAGACTGGGGTCGATCCTCCGGTCTCTGTTCTTCGGCCGGTGTCGGCCCAGCTCCGGGGACCCATGGTTCCGAATCGAGCTCGGCCTGTGCCGCCTCGTCCCAAGCACTCTCGGGAGGGGGCCCCTCGCGCTGGACGTCCACGGCGGTCACCCGCCTCGCCTGGGCAGAACGGAGCAGCTCCTGCCATCTAGGGTCCTCGGCCAATTGAAGGCCGCACTCTTCCTCGGGGCTAGCACGCCTAACTTGTTCGGCCGAACATATCCAGAGGCGGGCCCGAACCGCAACCCACACCGTGCCGCCCTCGGCAAGCACCACGACCCCGGGGCCCGTCCAGCCAGCACGGCGGCGCCCTAGAGCATCGGCCCTGGATGATATCCTGGTGAAATGTCTCCAGACGAAAACCCACTGGCCGGGGGTAAACCTCCTGGTCCCGGCGGTCCTGGCCCTGGCCGCTCGGGACAGCTTGTCTCGGGCCGTGGCTTCCATGGCAAGTCTGCGGGCCGCCGCTCGGATGGCGTGGGCCCGAGCAAACTCGGCTCCCGCCTCGTCCTGCTCTGAGGAGGGACTCAATAACGTCCTGCCCCCCGGGCAATGCCCGTCGATCGTCGGACAGGAGCTCGTGCGGAAGCCGCGGATTTTCCCCGAAAACTAACTGGAGAGGCGAGAACCCGCCTCGATGCCAAAATCGGTTCTTATGCGCCACCAGCTCAAGCACCAGATCATCTAACTCCTGGAGGGACGAGGGAAGCGACGTCCCGGACTCTAGCTCGATACGGACTCTGTC